TTTCCCTTGCTGCTTTTAATATGTTTTCTTTGTATTTAATTTTTGACAGTTTGATTAATATGTGTCTTGGCATGTTTCTCGTTGGGTTTATCCTGTATGGGACTCTCTGTGCTTCCTGGACTTGATTAACTATTTCCTTCCCCATATTAGGGAAGTTTTCAACTATAATCTCTTCAAATATTTTCTCAGTCCCTTTCTTTTTCTCTTCTTCTTCTGGAACCCCTATAATTTGAGTGTTGGTGTGTTTAATGTCGTCCCAGAGGTCTCTGAGACTGTCCTCATTTCTTTTCATTCTTTTTTCTTTATTCTGCTCTGCAGTAGTTATTTCCAGTATTTTATCTTTCAGGTCACTTATCCGTTCTTCTGCCTCAGTTTTTCTGCTATTGATCCCATCTAGAGTATTTTTAATTTCATTTGTTGTGTTGTTCATCATTGTCTGTTTCATCTTTAGTTCTTCTAGTTCCTTGTTAAATGTTTCTTGCATTTTGTCCATTGTATTTCCAAGATTTTGGATCATCTTTACTACCATTATTCTGAATTCTTTTTCAGGTAGACTGCCTATTTCCTCTTCATTTGTTAGGTGTGGTGGGTTTTTATCTTGCTCCTTCATCTGCTGTGTGTTTTTCTGTCTTCTCATTTTGCTTATCTTACTGTGTTTGGGGTCTCCTTTTTGCAGGCTGCAGGTTCGTAGTTGCCATTGTTTTTGGTGTCTGTCCCCAGTGGCTAAGGTTTGTTCAGTGGGTTGTGTAGGCTTCCTGGTAGAGGGGACTAGTGCCTGTGTTCTGGTGGATGAGGCTGGATCTTGTCTTTCTGGTGGGCAGGTCCACGTCTGGTGGTGTGTTTTGGGGTGTCTGTGGACGTATTATGATTTTAGGGAGCCTCTCTGCTAATGGGTGGGGTTGTGTTCCTGTCTTGCTAGTTGTTTGGCATAGGATGTTCAGCACTGTAGCTTGCTGGTCGTTGAGTGAAGCTGGGTGCTTGTGTTGAGATGGAGATCTCTGGGAGATTTTCGCCATTTGATATTATGTGGAGCAGGGAGGTCTCTTGTAGACCAGTGTCCTGAAGTTGGCTCTTCCACGTCAGAGGCACAGCACTGACTCCTGGCTGCAGCACCAAGAGCCTTTCATCCACATGGCTCAGAATAAAAGGGAGAAAAAGTAGAAAGAAAGAATTAGTAGAGGAAGAAAGAAAGAGAAAGAAAGAAAGGAGGGAGGGAGGGAGGGAAGGAAGGAAGGAGGGAAGGAGGGAAGGATGGAAAAAAGAAAGAAAGAAAAAGTAAAATAAAGTAAGATAAAATAGTTATTAAAATAATAATTATTAAGAAAAAACATTTTTAAAGATAAAAGAAAAAAAAAAAAAAGGACGGATAGAACCCTAGGGAAAAATGGTGGAAACAACACTATACAGACAAAATCTCACACAGAAGCATACACATACACATTCACAAAGAGGAAAAGGGGAAAAAATCATAAATCTTGCTCTCAAAGTCCACCTCCTCAATTTGGGATGATTCCTTGTCTATTCATGTATTCCACAGATGCAGGGTACATCAAGTAGATTGTGGAGCTTTAATCCGCTGTTTCTGAGGCTGCTGGGAGAGATTTCCCTTTCTCTTCTTTGTTCTCACAGCTCCCGGGGGCTCAGCTTTGGATTTGGCCCCGCCTCTGCGTATAGGTCGCCGGAGGGCCTCTGTTCTTCGCTCAGACAGGACGGGGTTAAAGGAGCAGCTGATTCGGGGGCTCTGGCTCACTCAGGCCCGGGGAGGGAGGGGCACAGAGTGCGGGGCGAGCCTGTGGCGGCAGAGGCCAGCATGACGTTGCACCAGCCTGAGGCACGTCGTGCGTTCTCCCCGGGAAGTTGTCCCTGGATCCCGGGAACCTGTCAGTGGCGGGCTGCACAGGCTCCCCGGAAGGGAGTTGTGGATAGTGACCTGTGCTCGCACACAGGCTTCTTGGTGGCGGCAGCAGCAGCCTTAGCATCTCATTCCCGTCTCTGGGGTCTGCGCTTTTAGCTCCGGCTCGCTCCCGTCTCTGGAGCTCCTTTAAGCAGCGCTCTTAATCCCCTCTCCTCGTGCACCAGGAAACAAAGAGGGAAGAAAAAGTCTCTTGCCTCTTCGGCAGGTCCAGACTTTTCCCCGGACTCCCTCCCGGCTAGACGTGGCACACTAATCCCCTGCAGGCTGTGTTCATGCCGCCAGCCCCAGCCCTCCTCCTGCGATCCGACTGAAGCCCAAGCCTCAACTCCCAGCCCCGCCCGCCCCGGCGGGTGAGCAGACAAGCCTCTCAGGCTGGTGAGTGCTGGTCAGCCCTGATACTCTGTGCGGGAGTCTCCCTGCTTTGCCCTCCGCACCCCTGTTGCTGTGCTATCCTCCGCGGCTCCAAAGCTTTCCCCCTCAGCCACCTGCAGTCTCCGCCCACGAAGGGGCTTCCTAGTGTGTGGAAACCTTTCCTCCTTCCAGCTCTCTCCCACTGGTGCAGGTCCTGTCCCTATCCTTTTGTCTCTGTTTATTCTTTTTTCTTTTGCCCTACCCAGGTACGTGGGGGTTTTCTTGCCTTTTGGGAGGTCTGAGGTCTTCTGCCAGCGTTCAGTAGGTGTTCTGTAAGAGTTGTTTCACATGTAGATGTATTTCTGGTGTATCTGTGGGGAGGAAGGTGATCTCCGCGTCTTACTCTTCCGCCATCTTCCCGGAAGCCTCGGCATTTAATATTTAATTGAATTTATTTTTAGTATATTTCCTAGAAAAGCAATACATGTCCACTGTAGAAAGCTTTAAAAATAACCGACAAAAACTATTATCCAGAGAACCACTATTTAACGTATACCAAATCTTTATTCATTCAACAGCCATTTTTCAATACCTATTATATAACAGGTACTGCTTTAGATGTGAAACCTGTTCTTCAGAGTTAACATCCTTCTGTAAATTTAGTGATATGTCATTTCAGCCTGCTATGTGCAGAAATGTGTGTACTTTTAAAAAGGGACTATGCTTCTTAAAAGTAGCATTGTAATCTGATTTTTCTCCTGTAACATTAAAAGCTTCTTTTGATGCCATTGACCCATATTTTACAGTATTATCTTTAATGGTTGCAGAAGAATTATTTGTGTCAATGTACCATAGTTAATTTAATGAATCTCCTATAGGCAGACACTTTAATTCTTTCTTTTCCAATTCCTGTTTGTACTTAAAATCTGTAACTTGTATATTTTGCTTCTCTTTGATAGTATAACTCATATGACCTCCACATGACATGAAGGCACAGGCAGCTCTGTCTTTCTTCTTCATTCTTATACCATCTCTATGTGGATCTCAAGGTAAGCACCTTTATAATACACCCAAGTGTCAGTTGTTTGTATCATTAGATAGGAACATGAGCCACAGGGCAAGGGAGCTGTTTCCTCTGTAGCCATAGCTTGTCAACTTTTCTAACTTTTCTTCTATCTACTCTAAGGTTCTTTCTAATCTGTTATCTGCTACCAAATATAAAATCACTAGAAAGGCAAGTTTGATTGATTGGTTGATTTGGTTTTTTTTTTTAAGTGTAAGCTTGGTACTTACTTGACACTTGACAAAAGGCGTTATCAGCTTTGCTAGGCCCTGTGGCAGGCATTTTAAATTATCCAATGAAATATTAGAGGTGTTTAGTAGAGCAATTAGGGAGGTCGACAAAAACACTCCTTTTCTTTCCCACCTTTCCATGTCTTTCTTCTCAGCTTGATGCCACATTCCTCTAGCCCTTGGTACAGAGATAGACTAAATCTCTCTAAGGCAAAGGGGGACATAGAGTGGAAAGAGCCTCAGAGGAGGGGGCAGAGGAAAAAGACTTTGTGACAAGGCCATATGAACACCCGATTATCCCATCTAGGGTAGCTTTGACCAAGGTCAAAGGAGTTTAGTCCATTGTCCGTAAGATAAGGTCCTTTCCAGTGCAAATATCACAGAATTCATAGATAGGGCATATGATCTACTAAAATGTTTTGTGAATTGGTTAAAAAATCTGGATACTGCCTTCAGTGATTATGAAATGGGTAAGTAGATTTTCTTTGCAAAAACCTGATTGTGATGAGTCCATTTGCTTTTTAAAATCACCTCCTGAAGTTGACAGTAAAAAAATATATATAAATATATATATATATACACACACACACACACATATACAAACTTATATATATTAGGAGGATTGGACCTCTACATTTATATCCAGAATAATATTCCTTAACTATATTTTGATGGACTCATAGTATATCCTGAGAGTTGTTTTAAAGCCAAAATAAATGAATCACTTCATTTCCCCTTTTGGACTCCTCCTCTTATGTGCACCCTTTCTTGAAACTAATGTCTACATATTCCCAACAGATCCCTTAATGCAGCATTGTCTTCTACATGCTCCAAATATTTCCTAACCCAGCCAAGTTTATTCTATTCTTTTAGGGCCTGCTAGCTCCAGCTAGCTGGATAAACTAATTTGTTATTGTTATAGTAGGTGTTAAAAATGAATGTGTTCAGGAAATAAAAATCAACAGGAATCTTTAATTTATATAATATACATAATTTCCAGCAACTGTAGCAGGCCAGGATCAGAGGAGAGATGAGACTATTGATCAAGCATGGAACAAAGTTTCTATGCTTTATGCTGTTGTCAATTCTCATGGTTACATTGAATACAACAGATACTCGATTGAAATTGCAGACACTCAAACATAGAGCTTCATGGCTTGTTTCTAGTAATTAGACTAGCAAGTGTTCTTGATAGATGATGTGGTCTGTTAATGATCAGGCTGCTGACCTAGGATAGTTCTTCTAGGTAGTCCTGATATAACGCTTGATAAGCACCCATCACTAATTCTCTTCATAACTGCTCTTGTTTTTAGATACGTTCTTTTTAGCTTCCTTAAGTCATGTTCCTATGAGTGAGCAAATAGTCATTGGAAGACTTGATGAAGGTGTAATTCTCCCTTGCTCATTTGAGAGTGGGCCCGATGTTGTAGTTCACTGGAAGAATCAAGATAACTATGTTTACTCATACTACAAAGACAGTGACCAGTTGGAAAAGCAAGATCCCAGATATGTAAATAGGACATCCCTCTTCCTTGGTGAAATTCACAATGGGAATGCCTCCCTATCTTTCAAAAGATTAAAGCTTCAGGATGAAGGAACTTACATATGCTACGTGGGAACATCACTTGGAAAAATCATAAACAAAGTGATACTAAAAGTGGGAGGTAAGTGTACATATACCATTTTATAAAACATGACAATGATACCATTCCATGTTTTCTGTAATGCCTTCTTCTTAATTTAATATGCTATGGGCTTCCTTCCAAGATAATACATACAAACTACCTCATTATTTTTAATGCATAGTGTCTCATAGTTTAGACATGCTATAATTGATGCACCCGTTCCTCCATTAGTAAGTATTTAGGTATTTCTAGTGTTTTACGTTACAAAAAATGTTGTGATGAACATCCTTATATTTAATACTGGGAAATGGTCTGAAACAAAAGCATCAGAAGTAAAATTTTAATATGGCACTTATACCAGCAGCAAAAGAGTATACATTTTCCCCTTAAGTCTTATCAACACCTAATATTACCCATCTTAAGACATTCTGCCAATATGATAGCTTAAAAATATTGAATTGATTTAAATTACATTTTTCTGTTTTCTAAATGAAGTTAATTGTAATACTATATGCTTTCCTCCTGTTTGTATTAACTTCATTTATCTAATCATTTATTTATTGGGAGGGGCATTTTCTAATGGGTTGTTTTATCTAGCTCATGTTCTTTCTCCCTCTGTTCCATTTATCTGCTTCAGACCTTGACTCAGAAATCTAAGAATTATGGGTAAACAAAGAATCAAAAAGGCTCTGAGTCAGTACCTGAAGAGTACAAACTGCTGTGTGAACTCTAGTTTATCAGCTTTGACACCCACATTTTGACTGCTCAGTGAGGCCATTAGATTTTTTTCTAGAATTCTTTCTAGAGAATTGAGCTTGCTAGTTGCTATGTATCCATACATGCTCTTTTTTCCTTGTAGATCACCGGACTATATCTTAAGGTTCTACAGAGTTTTTGCTGTTTTTCCTTTCAGAAACTGCCAAGTTTTGCTCGCAAAGCTTAGCTTTTCATTTCATGGATATTAAAATAATGTGTTCTGCGCAGATGGGCTAAAAAGAAGCTAATGACAGTTCCTCACGTGCCCTTCTTTCTCCCACATAGCTTTTGTCACACCTGTGATGAAGTATGAAAAGAACACCACAAACAGCTTCTTAATATGCAGTGTATTAAGTGTTTATCCTTATCCAATTATCACATGGAAAGTGGATAATACACCAATCTCTGAAAACAATAAGGAAGAAATCGGATCTTTGGGTCCTTTTTATATTAACAGTAGAGTAAATATTACAGGATCAAATTCATCTTATCAATGTGCTATTGAAAACACATTGCTGAAGCAAACATGGACAGGGAGATGGACAATGAAAGGTAGGCTCCACAAGGCTTTCTGTGTACCTGTGCTGTCAGAGATTGGGAGGGAATGGGGTTTGATTTACAGGTTAAGAGAAGAACACAAAGGAAGGAAATGCATTTGCAGCAGTTAGAAGACCAGGACTGGAGTCCCAGATATAATATTACTGGCTCTGTTACCTCACGCAATCATTTTTACTTCTGAGCGCTGGTTCCTGGTTGGTAAAATGGAAGTAATTCTTACCTTGCAAGGTGTTTATGAGTTGAAGGAAAACAGTTGTGAAATGGAAAGCAGAAAATACATCCATGAACATTACTATATTTCTCTATGGTTCTTCTACATAGAATTTTCTACCTGCATTGGACTTTAGAAGGTCAGAGGAGAAGGAAAGGATACTTGTTTCCCAGCAGGTCACAACCTCTGATTCTTGCCAGTTTTTCAACCAACAGAAATTAGTATTGCTTCTGTTTAGTCTCTTTCTGTTTAGTCTTCTTAAGTAGTATTAGCCCATTAATCTTTATCAACACCTCTACTCCTTCCTCTCATTTATTTGAACAAACTCAAACTCTCACCAGTCTCTATATCTATAAGCTACTGTTTAAGAAGAGTTTAAGGAGAAGAAAAATTAATTTGGCACCATTTGTCTAATTCTGAGGAAAATTATCAATATTCTTTTATACTTCACTAGAAGCAAAGCAAATTTTTTCTGTAAATCTCTATTATATGGTGAAAGTGGAGGTTAGCTTTCCTTTTTGGCCTTCTCTTCCCCTGAGTTTCTTTTTTATAATATTTAAATTTATTGAAGTATAGTTGACTTACAATATTATATTAGTTTGGGGTATAAAACATAGTGATATTTTTATAGATTACACACCATACAAAGTTATTATAAAATATTGACTATATTCCTTGTGCTGGACATTACATCTTTGTGACTTATTTATTTTGTAACTGAAAATTTGTATCTCTTAATCATCTTTAACTATTTCGCTTCTCTTCCCATCCCTCTCCCTTCTGGTAACCACTAGTTTGTTCTCTGTATCTGTGAGTCTGTTTCTGTTTTACTATGTTTGTTTTTTAGATTCCACATATAAGTGAAAACATACAGCATTCGTCTTTATTTCTCTACTTATTTTACTAATTATAATACCCTCCAGGTCCATCCATGTTGTCACAATAGCAAGATTTTATTCTTTATTTATGGCTTGGTAATATTCTACTTTGTGTGTCTGTGTAACTCAAATCTTCTTTATCCATTCAGCTGTCAATGGGCACTTGGTTGCCTACATATCTTGGCTATTGTAAATAATTGTTCTATGAGCTATGAACATTGGGGTGTTCTTTTTGAATTAGTGTGTTTGTTTTCTTCAGATAAATACGCAGGAGTCAAATTTCTGGATCATATGGTAGTTCTATTTTTAATTTTTGAGGAACCTCCATCATGTTTTCCATAGTGACTGCACCAATTTAAATTCCCACCAACAGTGCACAAGGATTCCCTTTTCTCCACATCCTCACCGACACTTGTTATTTGTTGTCTTTTTGATAACAGTGATTCTGACAGGTGTGAGGTGATATCTCACTGCAGTTGCATTGATTTGCATTTCCCTGATGATTAGTGATGTTGAACATCTTTTCATGTGCCTGTTGGTCATCTGTATGTCTTATTTGGGAAAATGTCTACTCAGGCCTCTGCCCATTTTTAAAAATCAGATCTTTTTTTGTTTGTTTGTTTCATATTGAGTTGTATGAGTTCTTTATATGTTTTGGATATTAAACCCTTACCAGGTATTATATCATTTACAAATATCTTCTACCTTTCAGTGGGTCACCTTTCAGTTTTACTGATGGGTTCCTTCCCTGTGTAAAAGTTTTAAAATTTGATTAGGTCTTATTTGTTTATTTTTGCTTTTGTTGCCCTTGCCTGAGGAGACAGATCAAAAAAGTATTGTTAAGACTTATATCAAAGAGCATACTACCTATATTTTCTTCCAGGAATTTTATGATTTCAGTTCTTACATTTAAGTCTTTAACTTGTTGTGAGTTTATTTTTGTATATGGTATGAGAAAATATTCTAGTTTTATTCTTTTACATATAGCTGTCTAGTTTTCACAACACCACTTATTAAGGAGACTGTCTTTTTTCCACTGTATATTTTTGCCTCCTTTGTCGTAGATTAATTGACCATAAGTGCATGGGTTTATTTCTGGGTGCTCTATTCGGTTCCAGTGATCTATGTGTCTGAGCTCTGTGCCAGTACCATACTATTTTGATTACTATAGCTTTGTAGTGTAGTTTGAAGTCAGGGAGCATGATAACTCTAGCTTTCTTCTTTCTCAAGTTTTTTTGGCTATTTGGCCAAAAAAATCACTAATCATCAATAATTTGTGTTTCCACACAAACTTTAGAATTATTTGTTCTAGTTCTGTGAAAAATGTCATGGGTATTTTGATAGAGGTTGCATTGGATCTGTAGATTGCTTTGGGTAGTATGGACATTTTAACAATGTTAACTTTTTCCAATCCATGAACACAGAATAGCTTTCCATTTATTTGTATTGTTTTCAATTTCTTTTATCAGTGTCTTACAGTTTTCAAAGTACAGGTCTTTCATGTCCTTGGTTAGATTTATTCCTACATATTTCATTCTTTTTTATTTAATTATAAATAAGACTTTTCTTAATTTCTCTTTCTGATATTTTTTTATTAATGTACAGAAACAACTGATTTTTTGTACATTGACTCTGTATCCTGCAAATTTATTGAATTTGTTTATTCTAATAGCTTTTTGGTGGAGATTTTGTGGTTTTTTATGTATGGTATCATGTCATCTGCAAATAGCAACAATTTGAATTCTTTTCTTCTAATTTGGGTTGCCTTTTTTTTTTTTTTCTTGTCTGATTGCTGTAGCTAGGATTTCCAATACTATGTTAAATAGAAGTGGCAAGAGTGGCATCCTTGTCTTGTTCCTGATCTTAGAGGAAAAGCTTTCAGCTTTTCACCCTTGAGTATGACGTTACCTGTGGGTTTGTTATATATGGCCTTTTTATGTGAATGTATGTTCTCTCCAAACCAACTTTGTTGAGAGTTTTTATCATAAGTGGTTGTTGAATTTCGTCAAATGCTTTTTCTGCATCTTTTGAGATGATTATGTGATTTTTATCCTTTGCTTTATTAATGTGGTATATCAGATTGATTGATTGATTAAACCATTGATTGATTAAACCATCCTTGCATCCCTGGGAAAAATTATACTTGATCATAACATATGATCCTTTTAATGTGTTGTTGAATTAATTTGGCTTACAATATTTTGTTGAGGATTTTTGAATCTATGTTTTTTGGGGATATTGGCCAGTAATTTTAATTCTTGTAGTGTCTTTGATTGGTTTGGTATCAGGGTAATGTGGCATTGTAGAATGTGTTTGGAAGTGTTCTCTCCTCTTCAATTTTTTTGAATAGTTTGAGAAGGATAGATATTAACTCTTCTTTAAATATTTGGTAGAATTCTCCTGTGAAGCCATTTCATCCTGGACTTTTGTTTGTTGGAATTTTTTTAGTACTGATTCAGTTTCATTACTAGAAATCAGTCTGTTCAGCTTTTCTATTTCCTCCTAAATTAGTCCTGGAAGAGTATAAGTTTCTAGGAGCTTATCCATTTCTTCCAGGTTGTCCTATTTGTTGATGTATAACTGTTTATAGTATTCTCTGATGATTGTATTTCTGTGATATTGGTTGTAACTTCTCCTCTTTCTAATTTTATTTATTTAGCACATCTCTTTTTCTTGATGAGTCTGACTAAAGGTTTTTCCAATTTTGTTTATCTTTTCAAAGAAACAGCTCTTAGTTTCATTGATCTTTTCTATTGTTTTTTGGTCTCTACTTCATTTATTTTCACTCTGACCTTTGGTATTTCATTTCTATACTAGCTTTGGTCTTTATTCATTTTTCTTTTTCTATATCCTTTAGAAAAGATACGTCATTTGAGATTTTTCTTGTTTCTTGAGGTGGGCCAGTATTGTGATATACTTCCCTCTTAGAATTGCTTGTGATGCATCCCATAGATTTTGGAACATTGTGTTTCTATTTTCATTTGTCTCAAGGTGTTTTTTGATTTCCTCTTTTATTTCTTCATCGACACTTTGTTTTTTAGTAGCATATTGTTTAGTCTCCACGTTTGTGCTATTTCCAGTTTTCCTGTAATTGATTTCTAGCTTTATACTATTGTAGTCAGAAAAGATGCTTGATATGATTTCAGTCTTCTTAAATTTATTGAGACTTGTTTTATAACCTAGCATTGTGACCTATCCTGGAGAATGTTCCATGTGAAGTTGAAAAGAATGTATATTCTGATGTTTTTTTGTATGGAATGGTTTCTAGTTATCTATTAAGTCCATTTAGTCTAATGTGTCATTTAAGATCATTTGCTTATCTGGGAAACTATTTCTTCAATTCTGAATGATAACCTTCCTTGGTCGAGTAACCTAGGTTGTAGGGTTCTTCCCCTTTCAGAATTTTAAATATATCATACCACTCCCTTCTAGCCTGCAAAGTTTCTGCTGAAAAATTAGCTGATGGTCTTATAAGAGTTCCCTTTTATGTGACTCTTTGTTTTTCTCTTGCTGCCTTGAAAATTTTTTTGTCTTTAACTTTTGCCATTTCGATTATGATATGTTGGTGTAGATCTCTTTGGGTTCATCTTGTTTGGGACTCTTTGAGATTCCTGGACCTGAATATCATTTTCCTTCTTCAAATTAGGGGAATTTTTAGCCATTATTTCATCAAATATGTTTTCTACCCCTTTCTCTCTTCTCCTTCTGGGACACCTATAATATGAATGTTAGTATGCTTGATGTTGTCCCAGAGGTCCCCTTAAACTACCCTCATTTTAAAAATGTATTTTTTCTTTTTTGTTGTTCTGATTGGGTGGTTTCCACTATTCTATCTTCCAGGTCACTTACACATTCTTCTGTATTACCTAATCTGCTCTTGATTCCCTCTAATTTTCATTTCAGTTATTATATTCTTCAGCTCTTTTTTATATTTTCTAATTCTTTGTTGAAGTTCTCACTGTGTTCCTCTGTTCTTTTATTGAGTTTGGTGAGCATTTTTTGTTGTTGTTTTTTTTTGCCGTACTCGGGCCTCTCACTGTTGCTGCCTCTCCCTTTGCGGAGCACAGGCTCCGGACGCACAGGCCCAGCGGCCATGGCTCACAAGCCCAGCCGCTCCGCGGCACATGGGATCCTCCCGGACCGGGGCACAAACCCGCGTCCCCTGCATCAGCAGGTGGACTCTCAACCACTGCGCCACCAGGGAAGCCCCTGGTGAGCATTTTAATGACCATTGCTTTGAACTCTTTATCAGGTAAACTACTTATCTCCATTTCATTAGGGTAGTTCTTTCATTTGGGACATATTTCTCTGTCTTTTCAATTTGTTCAACTCTCTGTTTGTGTTTATAAAATTAGGCAAGACAATTACCTATCTCAATCTTGAAGGTATGTCCTTTTGTGAGAGTCTCCCTATGCAGTCTCCGTGTGTCCAGTGGCTTTGGTGGGAGAGCTGGATATGAAGCAAGCATGGAGAGGGGCCTTTTCTGGGGCACACCAGGGCTATCACTGGCACGGGCTGGAGCTGGGGGGTGGGGTGAGCTAGAGTTGGAGCCTGGTATGGGGCTTCTCCTGAGGTGTGTGGGGGCTGCTGCCTTGGCGAGGGGTGGGGACTAGAGCTGAGCCAATCACAGGCCAGGGCTTCTTCTGGGGCATGCTGGGGGTGCAGCCTTGGTAGGTGCAGGCTGGAGCCAGGGGGGCTAGAGCTGGAGTCTGGCACAGGCCAGGGCTTTTCCTGGGGCATATGAGGACTACTGCCTTGACAGGGGTGGAGCTGGAGCAGTGCAGGGTCTCCCTCATGGGTGTGGGTCCTGACTAGATCACTTCTCTTCCCCTCCTATTCACCTTGGTGTATTTTTTTTTTTTATATCCTTAGTTATAGATGAGCCATTCTGCTGGTCTTCAGGTCATTCTCAGAGAGAGTTGTTCTATATGTAGCTGTAGTTTTAGTGTGTCTGTGGGAGGAGGTGAGCTTAGGGTCCTCCTACTCTGCCATCTTGGTCCTGCCTCTACCCCTGAGTTTCAAATTCTCAAAATATTCACCAAGAAGACACTAAAAATATGAATTATTCACTACCTTTATATGATGTCAATAGTGTGAGCAGCCAGTGTTCTCTGTTCATCAGCCAGGCAGCAATGGAAACATGGGAAAGGGTTGAAAATATTAAATTGCAAATATTTTCTAAGGAAAATCATAATTTCTCATGTTTATTCAGAAATGAGTATCCTGGAGTTCCAACAGTTCCTGAGGCTCAGCGTTATTTTGTCTTGTTGAGGATCTATTACGTACCAAGCTTTGTCACTCTCAGACTGTGAACTTAAGAACCGGATGTGTACTAGATGCTGTGGACTCTTACTTCTGGATCCACAGCATCTAGTACAAACATGTAAAAATAAAACTAAACCAGGAGTAGCATACAAAGAGAGTGAGTAACTCTGTTCACCATGGTTGGGTATGGATCAGGTTTTTACAGAACATATGCTTAAGGAAGTTGCATAAGGGCAGAATTTTAAAAGAGCAGTAGGAAATTCCAGGAGAACATAGGCATTCCAGGCAAAAAACATACTGTACACAAAAGCACAGAGGAGTAAATATTGCTTGAATTTGTGGAAATATAAATGGTTGAGGGTTAAACTGAAGTATCAAAAGATAAGCCTAGAGTAGAAGGCAAAAACCAGATCAAATGGCTTCATCTTGCTGAAGAGCTTGAGCCAGCCCTGGAGGTAGTATGGAGCCAAAGAAGGATATGAAATATTGGAGCGACTGGAAGTGGCATTTTAGATGGCTTGCTTTGGCATCACTCTCGCACAGGTGGACTGCAAAGTAGGTATGTCTAGAACCAGGGAGAACAATTCATGGTAGTCCATAGAGGCCAGCTGACAGAACTAGAGAATAGGAAGGACAAGATGGAGTTAGCTCTGGAGGGACAAGCTAAGAATACCCAGCAGAGTCCCTGTTCTAAGAGCTCGGTCCAGTGAGGAATTACCTGCACAGTTAGAAATATACTTCTTACGTGCAAGAAAAGAGACTCTGTCTTGAAAGAGAGATTAAGAAGTGGTTGAGACCATGAAATTAGCAGAGACTGCCACGGTGTAGATAGTGACAAGGACGTAACTCCAGCACTCATGAGGTCAGCAGAGGAAGATCACTGAGTTTAAAAGGCTGATAACCATAGCAACATTCTTGAGTGATCACCGTCAGGCTGTAGGAGTTAAAAACCAGGTGTGTCACCTCCCTAGCTGGCCCAGGCTTAGGTCTCCTGAAGCCTAAGCTTAACCTTGGTGGGAGACTTTGAAATAGTGGTAGTAAAGCTTTTAATAAACTCCACAGTACAAATATCTCATTGCTTTCCAAAAGGTATTTTCAAAGATATTTCTAGGTGTAACTTAGAAAATTCATTTGAAAATTTTGTTTTCATTAATCTTTACTTTTCTATTCTGTTTTTAGATGGCCTTCGTAAAAAGCAAAGGGAAAACGTTTCACTCTCGTGTAAACATGAAAACAGTTTTTTCCTACCAAATGAAGATTTCAGGGTCACTTGGTCCAGGGTGGACAGTGGGAATTCTTTGGTCCTGGCTCAATTTCTGAACTCCTCACAAGAAACAATTATCAATGAACCCCTACTTTCACGGAACAAAGATCTGATAAACCTGCATGACTTCTCTTTGACTTTGAAGGATCTTCGTCTTTCAGACAGTGGAGAATACCTGTGCAACATTTCTTCAAGCAAATATACTTTACTCACCATCCAAACACTGCATGTAGGTAAGTTACAAGTAGGGTTGCATAATGGGTTTCGGGTACAGCGTTAGAGATTGTGAACATCAAACAGGAAAACTAGGTTGCCATTTCAAGAATACCTTTGAATAGAATTTCTGAAAATACTGTCTACAGGGATGCTTCCAGTCAAGACAATCTCCTTCCTTCAACCACAGGCAAGTCTTGCATTGAAAAAAAAAAAAAGAAATTACTCCCAGAAGATTTCCTTTTTAGGGTTTCAGGGCTTCAGAAATGAAGAGGGAACCTATATGTTTTGTTACTCTGTGGGCTGAGCATCTTCAGTTCCTGCTTACCACTGTGCCTCAGGGTCTGGGTTTGGGGAGTTGAAGCTGTGTAGGTACAGGAGGAAGTTAGAATTTGGACTCTGCTGGATGCTGGGGAAGCATGGTCTGTGAATCTGGTGAAAACAGTTACCAAAGGGCATTTGAAACATTACGTGTATGCCTGATTCGGCTCATTTTTTTTTTTTTACCTCTATTGGTAGCTAACTGGTAAAACTCATTAATTAAAATATTTCTAGTCCAGTATCCATAGAGTCATAGACTGTGTACTCATGAAGTTGACTTTCAAGATGGGCTGATCACCCTTACCCTTAAGTGATCAACTTGACATCATGGGAGACCATGGCACTTCTCTTTCTATTCTTTATTAAAATATAAGTCAGTGGAACGTATGTTTTAGAAATATTTTTATCATTATAGTTATGAAAATTAGGAGAAATAACAGATTTGAAGGTTTGGAGATTCTATGTAGTGCGTTTTGGAGATAAGAATACAGAGTTGTCCTTGGGTCAAGGACAACTTCAAATAGATAGAAACTTCAAGACACTGAGTGATAACACTCCCTTTGCAGAGTTGCTACTTTGAGGGTACTGAAAACTGAGATGCAGATGAAGCTCCTGTTTTTCCCCAAAATAGGACTGTCACTTTTACATAAAATACAGTTAAGCTTTAATTCTATTTTCTTAAATGTTGGATTCATTTTGGAGTTTAGAAAAATAATCAGGAAGAAACAGTCTGAAGACCACATCTGGCCCATCTTTCTAATTAGAGGTCTAATTTTCAGTTTACACAAAGTGAAGCAGGATGACCATTCCATCTCTGTCAAAGAAAAGCTTTTCAGAACCTCTCATTCTGAAGTAAAATACCGGTCAGTTGAGACTGCAAGAGGGTTTGCCCATACTTCCCCCCAGAAAGAGGTCTATAGCAGGAACTACCCCATCAGGGCAGGGAACAGGAGAAACACTCTTTCAAGGAAACTTGCTGTTCTGTACTGAATTGCAATTTTCTGCTTGCTGCCTTGCCCAGGAAATACTGCAGTATTTGAAAAGGAGGCCCAGATAGCGGGGCTTATGATTCCTAGAGTCTGGATCTTCTCTAGAAAGGTTGCACTGAATTGAATGAAATTAAATAATTCTTGCTAAATTTTGCTGCTGAATCAATATGTGATCTTGGACAAATCCCTTTACAGATGGGGGAACTGAGGGTCATGGATAAAGTAAGAAGCTATACATTGCAGAATTTTCTTCAGGAGGAAAAATATGCCTATGAAAACACTTTAGGAAGTCAACATTTCTACTTAATTACTCCTTCTCTATGTGGGTATAGAATTTCAGGATGACAAATGTGTGGAGAGATTAATGTTTTATTGGTTGTAAAACATTAAGTAAAAGTATATTCATAAAAATTGACATCCATTATACAGAGCTGTTCATTTTAAAGAAAAGCCATAATTATCTTCCCCCCTGAATTTGACCTCTGTTCTCTAGTGCTTGCTCCTTACTCTTTGGTAGAACATGGATTATAAGATTAGCTGGTTCTGACTTTGGTTACTCAAGGTCTCCAAGTTTCTGGCGTCTGAGTTCCCCACTTCCTTTAATACCAATTATAACAATGCTAGTTCCAACCAAGATGCTGAAAAGAGTTCTGGCTCCTCCAGTTATTCCTGAGGAGCTCCAAGCACTATTGGTTATCCTGGTGGTCACCTGTCACCTTTTACTCAAGACCATGGCTCCTACTCAACTCTTCTCATCCCCTCTGCACTGCTCATCTCTGTCCCTCTAGGATCCAGCCTTGTCCAAGCCAAGGGTACACTGCAACCTCCCTTCATCCCCCAAGGAATACACTAGGCTGAGGCTAGTTTGTAGTCATAATTATTCCTTTGTAAAAGTGTGTTGATTATCTTATTACAATAAAAAACAATAAAGACTTAAAATACATAGAAGACTCATTGTCTCTCAAGTTTTCAGACTTTTTCTCTCCTGACTCTCATCCCCACTAGGCCCCAAATTGGTTAATATCACAGCTTTGGCAGGTTCCCCACAATAGACGCATTGAGGTTGGGAGTTATTATTTATGCTCATGAACAACTCTGGTCCAGACAGGGCTGCTGTTCATATCTTTAATGGGTCTTTTCACTAGGAAGAGTTTTTTCACTAATATGAAATCTGTCTCCCATCCAGAACGCAGAAATAGCTAGTTATAAAATTAGTAAACATACTCTACTCACCATCTATACATTTTCTTTTATTTTCTGGTAACTTTTCTTCCAGCTTATAGACTTTTTGTTGAAGCAAGTCAAGAAACAGTTGTCGGAACAATTTCAACATTGGTGGCAGTCATGGCGGCAATTTTGTTGCTTTTACCTCTAGCTGTTAAATCAAGAAGATGCAGATATTACTACACAGGTAATATCTCATGGAGGATTTGGTCTTGTGCCTGGGTGTTCAGGTAGAGGTGTATCAAAGATAAACACCTGCAGCTGCACACCTGCACTGCTGCTAGGCATGTAAATAGATCTGAATTTTCTGCAGAGCTGTTTTTAAACTTTTTCAAAAATTCTTTAAAAGGTGCCCACATTTCCACCTAACTATTTACTTCTAGGAAATTATCCTGAGTTAAATGGTCAGAGACACAGCAAGCTATATACAAGCACATCCATTGAATCACACTGCCAGTTTTTCATTGATTTTTTTTTTTTGGCGGCACGCGGGCCTCTCACTGTTGTGGCCCTCCCGCCACGGAGCACAGGCTCCGGACGCGCAGGCTCAGCGGCCAAGGCCCACGGGCCCAGCCGCTCCGCGGCATGTGGGATCCTCCCGGACCGGGGCACGAACCCGCGTCCCCTGCATTGGCAGGCGGACCCCCAACCGCTGCGCCACCAGGGAAGCCCCATTGAATATTTTAATAATAACAGGAAATTGATTAAATGAATTGAAAGTCACGTGTTATTTAAGTTGTTTTATTTCTCTTTTTTCTACTAAAGAGAGAAAATTTAGATATGGCAGTAAAATAATACACAGGATGATCTGAATTATCTTGCATTGAAAAATAGCTGGAAAGAAGCCAAAACGTTCTTTGCCTTTGTAGAGAGGTACTACACATCTCTCCACCACACATCTGCCCAGGTACTTCTATTATGTCTGGACGTCCTTAAGTCCCTGGGCTCTGTTTTCGCTTTCTTTGAGTTTCGCCTACAGTTGCTACTGCTCAAAACAGCATTGTCCTTGATGGGCTATTTTATTTTAATCCTTGTTAAGTTTTTAAAAAAACTGTTTTCTAAGTTTTCTGCTAGAAAACTGTGTTACTTATAGCAGTTTAATTACTTGTAGTAGTTTAACATGATACATTAAGATTCCATGGTCACAGGACTTCTAAAAAGACTTTGCTTTTATCAACAGAATTAGATCTATGAAAAGCTTGAATTTACTTATTTCCACATTCTACAGGTCAGAAAACTAGAATCCAGAAAGTTAACACAAATTCTAAGTAGGTATGTGAAACAGACTCTTATAAGCACCACCTAAGATGACCCAGCTAACCAGTGGCAGAGGTAGATCTAGGCCCCAAGAAGCTCTCCCTCCTTTCATAATCTCTCCGAGAAAGCTCTGAGTGTCCTGGGAGGTTTAAATAGATCCCATGTCCCTTCTTTTGATTGACATTTGCCTATTGCCCCCGCTGAAGTTAGGGTTATTTGATATAGCGGACACCATTATTGAAGGTAGGATGTTAAGGGTGATGGTGAGTGAGGATTTCACCAGTTGTAGCCCTGTGATTGTTTATACTAATAGGTCAGTCCCCTTACTTGTTGCTCCTCTTAGCTGCCAGAAGTAGAAAAAGATGGGAGGTTGCAGGTAGTCTAGTTTGTCCCCCACATGTAAACCCTAATATAATGATACTTGTGATTAGATTAGGTTCCAATTATAGGACAGGGGGCACTACATACTGCTCAAGAAGGATGGTTTAGTTTCTATATTGGAAGTGTGCACAAGTCCAGCACAAAGTACCTGGCACACTCAAAACTGGACAAAGGGGAGCACAGAACATAGTGCATTCCCCCAGAACTTTGCTAGAAAACCTGAACTTGAAGGGACAAGAAGAAAGAGCAGTGCCCAAAACCTGCAAGGAGAGTCATGGAACAAGCTGTGTTGTAAGGAGGGCGACCTTCACTCAGAGGACACAGATAGACTATAGGGAAGGAGCTAGAATAAGTACCTGATTTTGCCCTTCCCTCCCTTTGATCTCCACCCCAACTGGAAACCAGAGGGCAGAGAAGCCCTGCAGGTAGAACCCATCCAGGTCAGCTTCCCGTGGCAGAGAGCAGGATGGATCCTGATTCTGGAGGAGCAGTCCGGAGATATCAGAAAAAACCACGTTAGGGTATTGACCACTTAAAATAAAAAGAAGTTCCACAGTTCTGTAGTTAGGTGGGCTGAAAATATATTTCAAGCTGTTAAACTAAAAGTCACAAAACCTCCAGTTCCCAGGCTGTTGTTTCATATGACCATGGCTTGTATGTCTTCTTTTTAAAGTCCCTTTTCTATTACTCTGTTTTAAAATGCCCTTAGTATAAATTATCCTAGATTTTAGCAAGACCCAGAAGGAAGGCCTTCCTTGAGAAATGACATTATGTCTCTTTTTCCTATCCATCACCACCTTGGCTATTTTCCATTGTTTATATCTGGTAGGAATCAGGCCAACAATCTTAAAGAGCCAGGAATTCCTGGCCTGGTTGAATTGCCTTTATCCCTGCTTTGGAGGACCCTGAAACAGCCACAAGAATTTACTGCTGTCTGTTTCTGATGAGGTATTTGTACATTAAATGCATTTTTAATGCTGTTTGTTGGAAAAAAGATTTGAAGAGGGGAGTAACTAATGTGCTTCTAATAACTTAATTATACTGAGGAGGGAATAAGGGAGAATTTGGGTGTTTGCAAAGCCATGTTTTTTTACGTTCTGTTTTTTCTTGTAGAGGGGCATCCATCTACTGATCAGAGATCTAGCCATGACGGTACTGCAGAAGAAAACGTGGTGAGGCATTTCCTTTATCAAACTATTTATAGTATAAGGATGCTACCGTAAAAGGTAACTGAAGTTTTGACTGATTCACACATCATCATGCAGGACTTTTACACAGAAAAAAAGGCAGGAGGGATTGCAGGATAATAGAATGGGGAAAAAAATACACTTAGGCTTTTCCCACTGTAATTAAACATGCTCTACTTGCTTAAATAAGTGTGTGCTCTTATCATCTCCAACTGTTATTTGTAAAGATGATTTCAAATGGCACTATGTACCAATATACTTATTATTCTGATGGAAACATGGGATTGCATAGGAGTGGAAGGCAATACAGACAGATAAAGAAGAGAAAAGCAGACTATAATTTCTGCCCGGACTCAGACTGCTGACCTTCTACACTTTTCCAGCCACTTCTAGGTTCCTTCAGAACTTATAATTCACTTACGAATTATAGCTTGATTGCATACTTCCTTTTTGCTGCACACCTTTTATTATTTATGAGTTCCATTAATCAGAATAAATAACAGTAAAGAGTGGGGTAAACTTGTTTTTCTACTTGTTAAAATCTCAGGAACATCTAGCAGGAAAATTAAAATTAACTGATAAGACCCAGACTTCATAACTACTTATTTTATAACTGTCTCATGGATCTTGGATTACAGATGCAAACAGTAGCTTAAAGCTCCCTCCTCCCAAAAAACAAAACAAAACACTACCAGCATTACATACTTAAGATAAAAATGGTTATTCTGACATGAACAACGGTGATTTTGAGTCCATTTTTCTTGGTTCTAGGCTCTTTCAGAATATTCATTCAGTAAAGGAAGTGAAGACAGGAGTTGACAACACAGCACAAACATCCTTAATATCCAGTGATCTCACCTCCCCTTTCTTCACTGCGATTCCAGCAATGGCTTGTCATGACCCAACAATTCTGCCATTGCAAAGACTTGTGATAGTGGAAAGAGAATAATTACCTTCTTTCTCACGCCCTAAGAATCATTCATTCACCCCCCTACATGCATCAAGATTATAAATGCCTGGATGCCAAGGGTTCCAGTTCAGCTTGGAAAAGAACTATCCCATTCATTTACATTCCTGCTGCAATCAGCCCAGGAGGCTACAGTGAGGTTTCCTCCAAGAACTCAGAAGAAATGAATCACTAAGAGATGATTCAAAATCTAATTAACTAATGATGGGTGAGTGGTAGAAGCAGAAGTCACTTTAGTGAAAAGGTGAAAAACCAGAGCCTAGAAAACAGGCAATGGATTTGCTAAAGTATTGTACTCTAGTTTTATATGAATGGTTAATATCAGTTTAATCAACTAGATTTAGTATGGTGAGTCTTAGGGACCCCCAAAGAGTAAGAATGTCAGTATCTCTAAGACTACCCCGGGTGCAAAGGGCCCTATCAACTCAAGAATTGACATCTCTGGGATTGGGTTGTACCCTTCAACACCAGGGTTTGCATAGCTGATTCACTTTGTTATAAAGCAGAAACTAACACATGATTGTAAAGCAATCATACCCCAATAAAGATGTTAAAAACAAAAAATACTACCTGATCCAATTTTCTTTATCAGCTGAACTTCTTTCACAATCTCCTACTTTGCACATAGCTCTGTTGACTTCAGGTATTTGCTACAATGTTGTGACCAGTGTTCATCACAAACGGTAAAGTATTAAGGACGCTTAAAGAAAAACTTTAGAAAAGCACATGAGACACTTGGTGAGGAGAAAGCGCTCAGAATTGCTCTAGTCTACTTACGGTGATGAGGGTGATAAATTTAAAGACCAAAGCCAACACACTGAGGATGGTGGACAAGAAGGACTCTGTGTCCTTTGACGCCGCTGAGTCCCTGAAATTATCTTAGAGCCACCTGTGTGAAGCAGGTTGGATCAGAGAGGCAGACTGCTGAGAACGACAGAATAAGGCTTTATTATAGAGATTCAACATTATAGAACTGTGGGCACTGGTGAAGAAGTCTGCACCAGGCTCTCCCCTCTGCATCTGGTGCTGGGCCTGAGGTCGCTGTCGGTCAGTTGTGCCAGCGGTCAGGAAGGACAGCTGGACACGGACTGAGGATGGACTAGAATTTATAAGAACAAACTGGACCCCATGCAGTCTCTCAGGGCCTCCGAAGTCAACACTATGAGTGACCTGTAAGATGATAAGCTGGCGCCCACTGCCATGGAGCTGCATACCTGCCGGGCGAGGATTCTGAGAGGAGCTGAGAGAGCTGCGGGTCCACAGAGCTGTGGCCCATCCCAGCTAGCTCACCTTTTCAGCCTGGAGTAATATTTGCCAGCTATCACTGTGCCTGGGGCCATACAATGACCTTATGAGCACAGAAAGAACCCAGCTGTTCCTTCACTTCTTCCTCTCAAATCTGGTGCATAGTTCTCTTGTGACCAACTTTAATCCAGAACCACACAGGAAACGTACCTCCAGCTTAGCCAAATTGGTACAATACAAAGACAGCATACCAGCTATCACTGATCTGAACATCTTGAGTGGGTGTTGTTTCAGTATTGCACAAGTATGTAGCCTATATGTAGCCTACATGGTTGTCCAGCAGGAGGGTTTTACCTACAAGTGCAAAATGACCAACTATGACTATATGTAAATCACTATAGAATGCTAAGAAAAACCTGTTGTCTCCCACCATTAGTGGCTAGAAATATAGACTCACGGATGTAGAAAGAAGGCCAGCAGAGTTCACTAACTTCAGTAATAACCATTTACCAATATGCCTTAGTCCCCGTGGACCATAACATAGCTCATGTCTTCTGTGAATATTACTCATTAAGAAGCAATATGGACAAAGTATTTTTTTAACATCAGAATTTAAAAGATTCTTGCATCTATTTAATTTTTCATGGGAAATGTTTACTTGCCTCTGAGGAAAGTTAAAAAAAAATCAAAAAAATCCCCACTACACTTGGAAGCAACAATATTCCCTTTTATTATTTCATTTTCTGATCACCTTGTTTAAACTACTTTTGACACAGCATAAACATGTTTTTTAAAATGTCTGTTTCACAAATGAGTGGATATATCAAAACAGAGACTTATAGACACAGAGAACAAACTAGTGGTCACCAGTAGCGGGAGGAGTAGAGGGAGGGGAAGGGGATTAAGAGGTACAAACTACTAGGTATAAAATAAATGAGACACAAGGATGCAATGTACAGCACAAGGAATATAACCAACATTTTATAATAACTTTAAATGGAGTATAATTTACAAATGTCGACTCACTATGTTGTACACCTGAAACTAATATAACGTTGTAAATCAACTATACTTCAGTAAAAAAATTAAGTGTATGTTTCAAATGCAACTTAAGTTTCTGGCCATAAAACAGTACCTCCTTGTACTTCTCCAGCCTCTGTCCTTTATAAACAAGGACTGGTCATTCTTCATGAACCCGAAAAACAGAATATCAGCGTGTTCTGTGAGATTCCTGTGACTTTCATTAGTGCACCGCATACCAAGAACCAAACCCAGTGCTTTCCAGACGTAAGCAGGACTTAGCCAACTCTTCATTAGCTTCAAAGGGAGGCAGGGAATTGAGGCAATTATCTGCATGAGAGAAAGCAGACACCGGTAATTCACTGCAAGGGTGTGCTCGGTCACTCAATTTTTTGCTCGCCTTGCGTTGCCAGCGAAGGCAGCGCCCTCTATAGAAGACCCCATGAGGGAGACACTAGCCACATCACCGATTTGCTCCACAGACCTGATGCACAGTTCTATGAGAAAACCTTTTCCTTTGGTTTATGACAGTTGAAGGAATTTCAGGCTCTCCTCCTGTGAATGGAAAACAGTTAGTCACTGCACTGCCAAGGACGATTTTCCTATTCATCTCTGGCCTCTCAGAAGCAATTTCTGCTTCACTCATTTTATTCTTTGTTGGAAATAATCGTGACAAAGTCGAATGCATTACATCTGTTTCCGAGGCCCTTCGACCTCCTGCAGCTGAGTGCAATTGCCGCACGTGTGAAGTATTTCCCTAAACAAATCCATTACGTGGGGTTGCTGGGCAGCTTCTGCACAGAAGACCCCAATCTGAGGCCATAACACTTCTCAAACTGAGGCCAGAGTTCAAACCACTTAACTGGATCTCTCCATATAGGCCTTATCCCTGAGACAACTACTTGCTCATTGATAGGAAATTTCTGGAGTCTGCAAATGTCTCACATTTCTCATATTTGGATCCAAATATATTCAATATAACCAGCTAGTCTCTTCTTCAAAAGAGATCCTTCGCCCTCCCATAAGGTAGTATTTATTATTGGCTGCCCTATCTACTTATCTTGAATGGTTATTAGTAATTCATTTATAATAAATAAGAAAGACCAAGCATGTACCATGTTTTTAAAACTGAAATGGCAGTGCCTGTGCTAAGTACTCTGTAGGCATTCTGTGGAGGGTATCCAACCTCCTTTAAAGCCAGATCACACTTTAAAACTGTGTTTCTGGGAACAATCTCAATGAGGAAGCTTAGGCTACTCTAACTGCCACAGTATGAAGTTTGTGTCCCCGCCCACAAAATTCATAGGTTGAAATCCTAACCCCCATGGTGATGGTAGTAGGAGATGAGGCCTTTGGGAAGTGATTAGGTCATGAGGGTTGAGTCCTCGTGACTGGGATTAATGCCCTTATGCACAAAAGACCCCAGAGAGCTTCTTCCTTCTCTTTCTACCCTAGGAGGTTACAGTGGGAAGAGGGCCGTCTACAGGGAAGTGGCCCTCACCAGATACCATATCTGCCAGCACCATGACCTTGGACTTCCCAGCCTCCAGAACCGTGAGAAATATTTGTAGTTTGTAAGCCATTCAGTCTCTGGTATTCTGTTATGGCAGCCTGAACAGACTAAGATAATGACGCTGCCAAGCCTACAGTTTAGTGCTGTCACTCTATCACTTTACCTGGAAAATTAGGGCACTGGCCCCTACTGTTGGATCAGAACTAAAGTTTGGGGACCAGAGATGTAGACAGTCCCTTTCTCTGTTTTAGGGAAGATAGCTAAAAAGCGGGACTCTTGCATTTGTTCTCATTCATGGCCTCAATTTTTTTTTTTTTTTTTTTTTTTTGCTGTACGCAGGCCTCTCACTGTTGTGGCCTCTCCCGTTGCGGAGCACAGGCTCCGGACGCGCAGGCTCAGCGGCCATAGCTCATGGACCCAGCCACTCCGCGGCATGTGGGATCCTCCCGGACCGGGGCACGAACCCGTGTCCCCTGAATCGGCAGGCGGACTCTCAACCACTGCGCCACCGGGGAAGCCCCATGGCCTCAATTTTAAACGTGTCCGCCTGGGGTCTCCATATCAATATGATACAAAGTCACATACTTGCCCACAATAGAAGGAGTTCACTTAGAATTTCAAGCAGATGCATCTGTGCTTCTTTAATCATCTTTGCTCCCTGGACTTCTGACGGTTCTACCCACATGAATCTAGGCCCTGGAGCTCAGAGCCTGCACATTAACCTAGAATTAAGCATTTGAGAATCGTAAATACAGTGTGCATCCCACTCAAATGCTTAGTGCTTCATACTCCCTGGACAAGTAGAATTAATAATTATAGGAAAATTTTGTCAGAACCAGTTTGTTTTTTTTTTTTTTGCGGTACATGGGCCTCTCACTGCTGTGGCCTCTCCTGTTGCGGAGCACAGGCTCCGGACGCGCAGGCTCAGCGGCCATGGCTCACGGGCCCAGCCGCTCCGTGGCATGTGGGATCTTCCCGGACCGGGGCACGAACCCACGTCCCCTGCATCGGCAGGCAGACTCTCAACCACTGTGCCACCAGGGAAGCCCCAGAACCTGTTTTTTAATGTAGTTTTTTAAAAGCCTTTAAGAGAGGAACAAGAAATTTCCATGTGATGACATGAACCTGAAACACAAATGCTTTAAAAGTTAGAGCAGAGCTGAATATCTGACGTACCTTTTCTCCAAACTCTTTTGCTTTAATCTTGAGCTTATTAACTTGAGATTCGGCTATCTCTGCCCTTTACTTAGCTCCATTCTACTCATGTTGCTGCTTCTTATACTTGGAAAGTTATTGACTAGCTTCTGCTTCCTGTAAAAATAAAAAATGAAAAAAAAAAAGGAATCCCTGAGCCTACTAGTCATATTTTTGTTCTTCTCTGACATTAGAAAGTTGAAAAATGTGTGAAAGGAATCAAAACTTCTGAGTATTGAATGGAATATCATATATTGGTATGATATATATGGATTCAGATTCCTAGCAGGCACCAGATCCATTTTATAACTGTTGTTCCCTGGAAATTTAGAACATGGTCAGCACTTTCCACAAACTGGATGTAGTCCAGCTTTCACAGATTTGGTATGTGATAGATTTACCACAGTTATTTGTTTTGTAATCAGTTTAACATCCTATTCTGGGTAGAGGGAGCTTGTCTTTACAATTATAAGGGTCAACAGGTAATTATTAGACATAGCAGTATTTTAGCCCAAAGCATTTAAATAATCAATTCAAAACCCTTCAAGATATATTATTATTAGGCATAAGCCAATATATATGGTGCTCATAAATTACATTCCATGGAGCTATGGCTACTAACCAGGGTTGACAAGTACATTTCAAGAGATGGTAGTTTTGGCCACAGTTATGTCCAGGCACATCAGATAAAACGACTGTGGGCTGCATTTATGCTCAAGCAAGGTTTTAGGGTGAGGAAAGCCCTAGGGTGAGGAAGGTCTCAGGGTGATTACGCAACCAAAAATTTTCCATCTTTACATGATACCATGCTGTTATTTGGCTCATTTTTTTGCCATGCACATGTTTGGGCATAACCACAAGGTCAAGGGAGAGAGCTCTGTCTCCCTGAAGGGAAAAGTTGCACAAATTTTAACGATAGGTAATAATTCTAGCATGAGAAAAAAACAGAATGAGCAGACTTTAAGCTGAGCTGGTCCTCTCTGACAAGCTGCTCATCTAGCTTGGGCCACATACCTCCATTAATCAAAAGTAAATGGGGGAGAGGGGAAGATGACGGAAGAGTACGACGCGGAGATCACCTTCCTCCCCACAGATACATCAGAAATACATCTACACGTGGAACAACTCCTACAGAACACCTACTGAACGCTGGCAGAAGACCTCAGACCTCCCAAAAGGCAAGAAACTCCCCACGTACCTGGGTAGGGCAAAAGAAAAAACAGAGACAAAAGAATAGGGACGGGACCTGCACCAGTGGGAGGGAGCTGTGAAGGAGGAAAGGTTTCCACACACTAGGAAGCCCCTTCGCGGGCGGAGACTGCGGGTGGCGGAAGGGGAAAGCTACGGAGCACCGGAGGAGAGGACAGCAACAGGGGTGCGGAGAGCAAAGCGGGGAGATTCCCGCATAGAGGATCGGTGCCGACTGGCACTCACCAGCCCGAGAGGCTTGTCTGCTCACCTGCCGGGGCGGGCGAGTCTGCGAGCTGAGGCTCCGGCTTCGGTCGGAGCGCAGGGAGAGGACTGGGGTTGGCTGCGTGAACACAGCCTGAAGGGGTTAGTGCACCACGGCTAGCCGGGAGGGAGTCCAGGAAAAGGTCTGGAGCTGGCGAAGAGGCAAGAGACTTTTTCTTCCCTCTTTGTTTCCTGGTGCGCAAGGAGAGGGGATTAAGAGCGCTGCTTAAAGGAGCTCCAGAGACGGGAGCGAGCCAGAACTAAAAGCGCGGACCCCAGAGACGGGCATGAGCATGAGACGCTAAGGCTGCTGCTGCCGCCACCAAGAAGCCTGTGTGCGAGCACAGGTCACTATCCACACCTCCCTTCCGGGGAGCCTGTGCAGCCCGCCACTGACAGGTTCCCGGGATCCAGGGACAACTTCCCGGGGAGAACGCACGACGTGCCTCAGGCTGGTGCAACGTCACGCCGGCCTCTGCCACCGCAGGCTCGCCCCGCACACCGTACCCCTCCCTCAACCCGTCCTGAGTGAGCCAGAGCCCCCGAAACAACGGCTACTTTAACCCCGTCCTGTCTGAGCGGAAAAACAGACGCCCTCCGGGGACCTACACGCAGAGGTGGGGCCAAATGCAAAGCTGAGCCCCTGTGAGCTGTGAGAACAAAGAAGAGAAAGGGAAATATCTCCCAGCAGCCTCAGAAGCAGCGGATTAAAGCTCCACAATCAACTAGATGTACCTGCATCTGTGGAATACATGAATAGACAACGAATCACTCCAAATTGAGGAGGTGGACTTTGAGAGCAAGATTTATGATTTTTTCCCCTTTTCCTCTTTTTGTGAGTGTGTGTGTATACTTCTGTGTGAGATTTTGTCTGTATGGCATTCTTCCACCATTTGTCTTAGGGTTCTATCCATCGGTTTTTTTAAATTTTTTTTCTTAATACTTAATTTTAATAACTTTATTTTATTTTACTTTACCTTC